AATCCAAGGGATGTTGTGAGGGTAACCGTGCGCGCCAAGACCTACAACCACCACGTACCCCGGGTAAGGAAACAGCACCGGCCTGCAGCAAGCTCTGGGTCAAGTGCCACCCTTGCTGCCCACACGAACCACAAAACATAGCTGCCCGCCAGCCTTGATCCACTTCATCACCACTAAACCTTTAAAATCCTTCACATACTGCTAGTAAATACATCACAGTATTCTTGCAATCATCTTAAATAACCTTAGGTTTTACTACAGCAATGTAAGAATAAGACTTTGCTGAAAGGGAGATAGTCCTTTCTGTGCATGGATTAACTAGGTGCCATGACACGCACTGCAAAGGGAAAGCTTCTCAAGCAGGACAGCATGACCTGGTACGCTCCCACCCATGGGAGCATCCCAGAAAGTGAACTGGGATAACAGGAAGGCTTGTCTGCGGGAACACCAACTGCAGAGCGGGGCAGTTTAAATAAGTGCCATTTTTATTGTCGCTTTGACCTACTATTATGCCTGTGGCACAGGGAAATGCCAGCACGTTATCTCCTCGCGACCGTCTCGTGTTCCCTGCAGAGCCTTGCTGGAGGAGGAGGACGGCAAACACACACTTCCTGGCATGGCTGCATTAGGCTACAACAGAAACGGGTAATATTCTTCCGGGCCTATACTTCAGGGGATATATATATATACATATATATTTGCTTGGAAGTAAATTCTGCCTCTTTTCTACCTTTGCCCCTTTCCCTCCCTCATCCTTACGGTATGCCGGGACCTGGCTGGCCAGGGTCAGCCGCCGGGAATCCCAGCCCTGCGGAGCTAAGCGGCAGCATTCCCGGCAGGAGAGGAAGCGCATGGGCCTGGGACACTGTACCCACACAGGGTGAATATGTAGTTGTGAAACTAGGTCACCAGCCCATCAGGCAAGCACCAAAACACTACTGCGCTTTACGCCAAAGCAGACCAGCAAAAAAAACCCAGTGTCTGACAGCGAGTCCTCCCTGGTCTGAGATACAAACGCGTCCCCCGATACCTTCTACAGGTGGTTTCTCTCCTCTCTTGCTCCCTGACCAGCGCAGCAGCAGCAGCAGAGTCCCAGCGCCCAGGAGCTTTGCTCTTTCTCCAGCTGCAAGCACACTTTTGCCAAACGCCAGCAAAGTCTGCTCCTGTTCCTGAACGGGAAGTTAAACGCACAGCAAACACCATTTTCAAGTGTGCTTTACTTGAAGCTGCAAAGGATAAGAAAACAAGAATTCCCTGCCATGATGCTCTCCAGGGTACGGGGCAGCTGGGGACTCTTGCAAAAAGTCTCGGCAAGGGGCATACGGATGGGGCTGTAGATGATCATGTTGGCTGGGACCAGCTCTGAGGGCAGCTCTAGCTGGAGAGCTCAAATGCTCTTTACCTGGGTAATTTTCAGCCCTTTCCACTCTTAAAGTTAACTCACTCCAGGAAATCCCTTTGCTGAATACCTGTCTCCTCTTCCAAAGAGGGTGCAGAAAGGAAGGGGGAGCTGCCTTGCTATGCCATCCAAGCAGGGATTTTTACTTTGGGTTGGTTGGTTTTTGTTTTGCATTCTAAAAGGGTATGGTAAGATACCATGAATGACATCCCAAGCTTTCAAAATGCATTTGAAAAAGGCACATATACAATAAAGCATATATATTAACAATATGATAGCATACATATAAATATACTTTCTCAAAATCCCCGGCTGCTCTTGACTGCAGGTCATTACTAGCATCCGTTTTTGTTCTTTAAATGACAGCAAACCAAGGTAAGATGCAAACTGCATCATAGCCAATTTGATCTCTCTTTTCCTAAACTGCCCTACTCAGTTTAGGCTACTCAGGTAACAGTGTAACCTCCCTTCTCCCCCATCATTAAAATACCCAGCAAGGGCTGCAATGAAAAAAACATTAAATAGTGAAGGAACTGCATTACCGCTACTCCTGTCCTGGGCTGAAATAAGCACCTCTCTAGCTCCATCTCCAAAGCCCCTTTCTGCAGGAGGGCTGTCTACTCTTCTTTCAGTGGGGCTTCTTTCCAGGGACTGTTTTTCAAACAGGAAAACACCAGCACAGGACCTAGATGACAGTAATAATGTCCTAATTAAAGGCCAGCTTTGAAGGATCTGGTTTAATTCCCGACTGATGCTCCAAGTTTAGGAAAGCCCACATTAACAGAAGGAAATATGGAAAATGCTGAAGTTGAGAATTTCTTTGCTCTTCACTATGTACATTTACTTCTAAGTGGCTATTTTGCGAGCTGTGCCCTCAGGCTGTAAAGATCATTAAAAATACCAGGCTGATTTACAAATTTAGTTAGATTTTTCCTCTCTAATACAGACCAATAAAGGTTCATGCCTAGACACCTTTCACATCACTTCATAGATGGAAGCACTTTTTAAGGAGAATAAAATTGTTTCAATCCCATAAATTACCGAGCAAAATGCTGGCTTTACTGAAAAATCCTATATATTTGATGTGCATTCCTAACTGATTGCAAAGAGAGGTGCCTGTAAAATTCATTGGCCATAGCAGCAGATATATAGGTAATGCCCTTTGCTCCAAGAATATGGATCATATCAAGAGCAGAATAAGCAATCACACTTCTATTTAAATTAATAGGCTTGTACTAATTTAAACTGAGTCAGAATCTTGCCTTTTTGATGTAAAATGAAGTGAAAGGATTTACTGGCAGGGATGTTTGCAGAAATGGCTTTCTTTAATGAAAATGGGGAATGCTCACAGGAAGCCAATTCTAAATTTGCAAATGTATGTTTTTAACTGGAAACCTGATTCCAAGAATTCGAGAGAGTCCAATAAAGATCAGCCAGGTTCGCTTTCAAACACCAGATACTTAGAACAAATGCATCTATAGGCCAAGGATTATCTGCTAAAATTCTCAGTACACTTTGAATGACTAATGATTTTGACAAAACTCAAGAGCTTTTCTTAGAAATCTGCAGAGGGCATGCAAGAAAAAATTTCTCTGAGGCCCCAGTTGTGCACACTTCTGTACAGGAGCAAGTTGATGTATGCAAAGCTCTCCAACAAATTCTCCTACATCAAGCAGGTCTCCAACTTCAGAGCTGGGACTGTCTGTCTTATATTCAATTCCCCCCTCTCCAGGCAATACCAAGTAGAAATTAAACACTAAAGTAAATGGTGGCACAAACCTTGGTTCAGAACTTAACCGGAATTTAATCTTTCCCCTTCCCTAGGTCTAGGATAAAAACCCTCAATGAGTCTTCAAACTGGATGATAAAAAATGAACATAGCACCTCTGCTTCGTTCAGGAAGGCAGCTTTTGGATGATGCTAACTAAAGCGCCGTGCCCGTGTGATAGCAGGAATCTGCCTACCACCTCCCCTGTGCCCTGGCTGTCATATGGGACATGACACTGGTCACCTAAAGCTCCATGAGAGGTTAGTGATGTTCAAGCCTGGCATCTTTCTCTTTGCATGTTGCTCTTACAAAGACTTTGTTGCCCCAGTAGAATTCACAACCACTTTTTTAAGCGCCCTTCTGGAAAGCCCAGTCTGTGGGTTTCCAAACACACGATGATGCAGAGCACAGTCAGTCGCTTTCTAAGCCAACCTTTCTAGTCGTGGTGAATCAGCCAGAGTAAAAGCGATGCTCTCCAGTATCTCCCCTTTCTCCTCTGAACAAACTCCTTAGCACCAAGCACAAGAAACCCAGAATGGGCTGGAGGAGGCAGCGCTTCATTGGCCTAAACTTCCTCTGTGTTCACATGAAGAAAAAAGGAGGGGAGGAACCCAATGACATTAAGAACAATGTTGGGAATAGGTCTTTAAATCTGTCTCTCCAAGGCCCATATATTCCCAGCCTTGATAGCTCTTAGATTACACAAGATGACATTTCTCTCCATATTGTATTATAATTAATAGGCTACTGCAAGACTTTACCAGCTCCTACTTAATAGCATTTCAGTGCTGGGAAGCAGTCATCAGGTAATCTGCCTATGATCTACTGTATCCTTTCTAAACTCAGGTTCTAGCTGCCAAGAATGTCACCATAAAAAGATTTCAATCAATACCACTCAGCTCCTACTTTCAAATGCTCCAGGTCTAGGAAGAGAAGAAGGAAAAAACAGCACCCTCCAAACGAACAGCAAACTGGCATGGGCACAGAGTACGCAGATTGAAGGGAGCAGATGGGAATTCATTATGGCCTGATCTTCCTCTCTCTTTTACACTTCTGTAACTTCATGCTTTTGATAAGGTCTCACAGAGCAGAGGGAAACTGCTTGCACGGAAGGGGTTAACCCCACATGCAGATCTTTCCATTCTTAAGCTGTGCTCTTGTTGCCAAACAAAAACAATTCCATAGAGATTGGTACAAACAGTTGGGCTTCAGTGGCAAGCTGTCGCACAGGTTTAAGCCCAGTTTTTAGTGATGCAACCTGCAACCTGCTGGCTGGTTGCTGGATTTGTTACTTGTTGGGAGAGAAAGAGAGGAAGCAAAATAGTTTTTTTCTTTTTTTTCCTTGTCCAGTCTCTAGTTCAAGAAATTGCTCTGGAATTTATTTTTTGTTTGTGTTCTCTACAGTGAAGTTAATAAATTATGAATAAAGATGATATCTATAAATCCAAATTAAAGCACAGCATCTGTATCTCATATATCACTTTCTAATGAAGTTGGGGAGATTGTATGCAATCTGTTTGTTTGAAGGGCTTGCATGCTCTCCAAGTGCCAAGGATATCCAGCAAAATCTGCACTTCCACCCCTAAATTAAAGCAGAATTGATGATTTAAAAACAAAGGGAAGTCACTGCATCAGCAAACTAGCAAACAATGTTAACATGAGAAAAAATGATCAAGGCTCAGATCCTGATGTAGCTGAAGTAGCTGGATTAGCTCCATTAAACTCAATGGAGCTAAGCGGATTAACGCTGGCCGACGATCTGGCTCCTAGTGTTTTCCCAGCTGCAAGTCTTAGTTTAGGCTGCTGCCAAGAGGTTAACACTGTGATAATAGAATGAGAAAGTATTTATATAGGTGTATATATAGATATATAATTATATTTAAAGAATACTTTGCTACTAGTACTTTTGTCATTTGAAAATTCGCAATTTTAAAACAAATTATTTTAGAAGAGCAGCAGAACCTCTTGAGTAAACTACAGACTCTCTCACCCACTCCTAGGCCACTTACTGTCCCAGGAGCAAGGTTAAAACGTTATTTGTAAATGCTATTTCTTAAAACATAGGGTGCAACTAAATAAGTAAGGCTCCCAAGGGTCTCTAAGAAGCCAGTGAGTCAACACACAGGCATGGAGTAAGAGCAAATCAACAATTCTAAAAAAGGTGCTTCATAAGTTAAGGAAAATAAAAATACAGAGCCTCAAACTTACCACAGAAGGCCCTCGGACTTATGAAACTAAAATGCTGTTATGTGCTACAGTGTTAGACATACATTTTTGTACATTCTCGAGGGGCAATACACACTGAACCCAGGAAACAGCTCACCCTACAAAGTCGTTTTGAGAGGAATATTGACTTTGATTCGTGCTCCTAAATCCCTAGCGTAAAACGGTTTTGCTTTAAAACAATTGTTCATTCTGCAAAATAAAGCCCCCCCAACTCTTCTCCAGCCACCAAAACCCCACACCGTATCTACATATTTGAAAAAGGCTCTCCTCTGAAATGTTCCTACCTATTTGTCTGAAATTATAAAGGAGTGGCATCTCAATACGACTTTAAAGCACCTAGCAGAGTTGAGCAATATCCCAAAATAGGACATGAGACACAGCTAATTGTGACAGAAACAGACTGCCTTCCCCACAATTCCCATAAAAAGCAAGTCAGGTCACTCAGCAAGAAGTGACGGCAAACCCCTCTTTTATCCCTTCCCTTCCTTCTTTCCTTTCTTAAGCTGGGCAGAGCAACTGAGGTTGGGTCCACAAAAATAAGGTTAATAATAATAATTAAACAACAGCAACAACAACAACAGCAACAACAACAAAATAGGTGTATCAATGTCTGAGGAAAAGTGGGATTGTAAGTGCAGTATTTCTTCATGTGCAGTTTTTTTTGTCTACTTCATAAGAGTCCCCTTTGGATGAGAAGGCCTAATGGAATGTGTGCTCCCCTCGGACAATGTGCGATGAGAACTCATAGCGGTCCTGGCTCCGGTAGCCACAGATGTTGCACTCTAGCGGGTCCCGGTAGCCGTGGCAGCCCATGTGGATGGTGTACATGACATGGTCTAGGAAAAGAACGCGACAGTGCTCACACTTGAAAGCCCTAATCTGCTCCCCTTCTCCATTGATGACTTTGTAGATATCCTTTAAAGAGCCCTTAGAAGCTTTTGTGGCATCCAAAGCCTTGGCGTCCTCCTTCATATAAGCCGGGCTTGGCTTTCTCTTGGGGTTTAAGGCAGAGTTTCCTTGGTAGGACTGGCGGTCTTCGTGGCTGCTCTCTGAGTCAGTAGAATCCAGGCAGCTATTGCTGGGGGAGCCCTCTCGATCCTGGGTTCGACTCTTTGGTCTGATGAGGGAGATAGGGCCATCCATGTTGTTCTCGTGACTGTCAGCCGTTTCCCTGCTGATGGGCCTCTCTATCCTGTTAGGATGATAGACCTGAGCGTAAGCTGAGCTGATGACCGGGGCCACCTCGGCGATTGTGCTTGGTGTGTGCTGCATCAGGGGGTGAAGTGCCTCAGCTCCAAGGTAGGTGATTGCATTGTTGATGGCTTGGTCCATCATGTGAGACTGCATCAGCTCAGCCTCCTTCTCGTAGGTTAAGTTCATATCAAAGTGAATGTCTGGATAGCCAAATCTCATGAGCTTTTCCCCTGCAGGACAAGAGCAAATGAATGAGAAAAATCAGGACCATCACTCCAAGGTTTCACTGTAAAGAGGAGGGTTGGGGATGGTAGAAACGCCCCAGCTTGGAGTGAAATTCACTCCAGAGCCCAAAGTTACCCTCCTGCCTTTTATTTGCTGACCTCCTATGAAGTTCCAGTTGCGAAATGGACAAAACAGCAACCTCACTAAAAGCTATTTTTATTGCAGGTAAAGCATGCAGTTGTGCTGAATTCCAGACCAACTCCAAACCTCCCAGTGCCTCATTCCTGCCGAGGTCTCAAGGGAGGATGACTTAGAAAACAGGATTGTACCACTGAGGCCAACAAAGCTCTGCCAGTTTGCACCACTGGACACACTCTTGCCAGGCACACAGTCCCCAGGATGGCTCATTCCTTACAACAAGGCAGCGTACTGAGAAATCTAAGCAAAGTGGCTCTATGTGTCCACAGGCTGAAGCACCATCAGCACTGTAGGACTGATCTTGAGATCTTGCATTTAGGCTCAGAATGACTTTTTTGCATTTTACCCTTCTGAAAAACAAACAAACAAAAAATCCCTTACCCCAGCTACTTGGAATAAAAACCAACCAACCAAACTCGAAACAACAACAACAAAAGAAAACACTCTCCCGAATTTCCAGTGTCCCTTTAGGCACGTGGCAACATCTCTTAGGCATGGAAACATGTATGGCTTAGTTTAATTTGGTGCAAGGCAAAGCAACTTCCATTGACTTAGGATACATAAATACACAGTGATGAGGAAGCTGTCTGATTCATCACTGCGTGAATCCAACTTCACACCTTTGTAAGCTTTTAAAATAAATGGCATTACAGATATGCAAAACCAAAACCACACACTGGTAAACCCTGCTAGTCACTGGGAACGCTGAGCATCGCAGATCCTCTTCTGAAGTTACCCAAGTTGCAGTTACTCACACCAGGGCTCAGCTCAGCGGCACTGCTTTTCCAGCGGTGCCTTTAGGGTGTCAGTACAAGGAAAGTTCATACAATAACTCTTCTTTTTAAATAGGAAACCTTATGCATATACAACTATATGAGTAAGACAAAAGACACACTTTCACATGTGTATATAGGCAAAAAAATCAGTTAACTGCTATTCTTTTGAAGCAGATTTTACAAAATCTGATAAATAACTTTGGTTGGGTTTTATTGTCTTTGTTACTATTCACTGCCTCACTGTGTAAAACTTCTCCTCAGCACTGTAAGTTAATCAATTCAGGAAGCTGCTACATAAGATTGGTTTGGCTATCCAGTAACTTTAAAATCTTCTATTACCTTTTGCCAAAATTGCTTGGAACAAAAGGCGTATAAACCAACATAAGAATGCAACAGAACTGTAATCCCAAATCTCTTCCAAATAGCATTAGTACATTTCAACAGAGCTATCATTCAGCATTTTATTTTTGACTAAAATAGTTTATTTTACTTAGCGTGGCTTATCATAACGTGATGCTTAAAGAGAGAAACAATTTTACATTACGCACGGTACAATCAGGTTATCCTTGGAGATTGTGCATCACTCTGGCTTAGGAACTCGGCCCTGATTAGCAAGGCAATTACATGCAAGTCTAAAGTGAAGCACGTGAATATTCCTCCTCACTTCAGAACTGCTCACGTGCTTTTGATTAGACATCAGGTTTCCGCACCCACTACATCTCCCTGTGGCCGGCTGTGTCCAGCACACAGCTCGCCATGGGAACACCTGGAAAAGGAGACTGTTCCTATAAACAAGTGTCCCCGCCACCTCTTCAACCACGCATGTAGTTTCTGTGCTGGGTAAGGAGCTACCTCTGAGGAAAGGGAGCCTGACGGAGCCTCTAGATGTGCTGACGGCCCCTCGCAGGCTAGAGGGACAGGTCAATCCGTAATACCTATCCCCTGCGGAAAACCTGGATGAACGCTACACGCCTTACTTGGATTCCTTTCATCTTCCACATTTAGTGACTCCACCAGAGAGTAGAGAACAGCAAACAGCAAATTGCCAGTGACCTGAATTATTCATTCCTTTAATTACGAACCAGTTTCAAAGACGCTGGAGCCTTAAAAACGGAGTGTGACATACAAAAATAAAATAAATGCTAACATGGCGTGTGGGGGTGCATAAATCACAGAGCTCAAAAGAAACATTAGCAAACCAATCCAGCCTGGTTTGACATGTTTTTCAATTTTAAATAACTTCTCTTTAGCCAAATGTGTAATCCTAAGGAACTATTTCACACTCATCTACCCAAGTTTATTCTCAGTGCCACTTTCCCATATATTGATGAAGTGGAAGAACTATCACTCCTTGTCAGGGTCAGCTTATCGTACAGCATTCCATAAAAGAAGGAAAAAAAAAAAACCCTCAAACTGGTATTTGCAGCCAGATCAAAGAGCTTGGGCGCTGCTGTACTATGATACCTGAAGTCCAGCTTGTCAGGTATCTATGGCAATGGGAACACCAGACACTTCAGAGAAGGACACAGGAAACCTTACAGAAAACAGTTACAGAATTTACCCAAGTGAATTTTATTCTTGATCCCCATTAACTACAAGTTGACTGTACCTTTGTAGCAAGATGATTGCCTATATATTTTTAATTCTTACTAGAATAACCACGGTCTTATCGTAAGCCACATGAACGTCTTCCTTTGAATCCTGCCAAGTTCTTAACCTCAGTGACACTCTGTGACAGCGAGTGCCACATTCAAACTGAAAATACATGAATCCACATCATGATGTATGTCTGCTGCTTTCTTTTTTGAAAAAGAGGCAAAAAGTAGTGTTCATTCTTGTGTATCGTATTTTCTGCCTCCAGTATTTCAACAGGCTTGGAAAGACTATTACTTCAACAGAAGATATAACCAAGCTCTCTCTCACTCAAAAATTTACTCCATCTCCTGTACGCTACTTCCTTTCCTTCTGCAATTTCAACCAGAGTAAAGACTGATCCATAACAAAGGTCCCTTGGAGACTGCTGATCAGAAAGAGCAGTAAAGCATTCACAGCTGTAGCATGCGAAGATTTGAGCTTATGCTTACATGACCTTCTCATAAATACCATTAAGTTGTTCTGGATAGGTGCCATGCTTGCAGTATGCACAAGAAATTTTCCTGCAAGCAAGAGAACCATTACAAGTTCTTCCTGATAGAGCTGAACACTATTTCATCAGGGAGAAAATGAGAAGAAAAGTGAGGTCATGGTGAAAAAAAAGAAAGGCAGCAAAGGAAAGAGACATTGCTGTCTTTCAGCTCGCACACTGTGATGCCAGGAAAGAATAAAAGTAGTAGAAAAACAAGCTACGGTAAGACACTCCTTTTTTTTTCTACCAATGGATTTGGATAAGAAGCTCCATGTCACATGGAAATCTAAATTCCTAACTGCAGAAAAAAATAGTCAAAATAATGTATTGTTTCTATAAGAAGTAGCTTCATCCTCAGTGAAGAATACCCTGTTGAAGAGAATAATAATCTCCCAGAGCATGTTTCATGCAATGATTTCAGATCACTAAATTCACCTTTAAAGACAGTAACAACATATGGTCAATCACATGCGAGCGGGCAAATAAAATAACCTTCTTGATCTAAAATAAAATCCATCATCTGCAGTTTCCAGAAGTTAAATCAATTTAACCCATCTAGAAATCCATCTGCCTCAGCTGTGAGGTGTATTTATAAGGGGCATATGATACTGCTTATGAGAGCAGGCTCCAGAACTTAAGAGGGAAGGGAGAGAGGTCTCTAGTGCTCGCAGAAAAAGACTCCAGTTCCTGGAAGAGATATTGCAGGAAAAAATAGGCACAACAGAATCAGTGGACAACTTGAGGAAAAAAAGAAAGAAAAGGCAAGAGGAGTGGACTGCTCTTCTTCCTTTCAAGGCTGTGGTGATTCTGTACAGACTTACAGACTGCAGGTCTAAGTACACCAATTTAAATGCCAGCTTGGCTAAATATTGCCCTGTTGATCAAATCTGCAAGGAACTAGAGCACTTGCTGACACAATACTGGCGAAGTCTGTCAGGAAGGGGCTGCATTTATGATCCCATACATTTGAATTCGGCTAGGCAGCTCCTTTCTGCACCCTCCCCAATGGTCTTTAACTTTTTGTGTCCCCTGGGTGAGATGAAGCATGGTGCTAGTCCAGTACAATTCCAAACCCTGTGGGTTAGTTTAAAACCACCTTCAGTGGTGATTTAACTGATTTACCTGAATCTGTATTTGGCTGAGGGGCAAAGCATTTCAAAACGACCATCTCAACTGCTTGCGATCCTCCAACCTCTCCGTGAGCGTCGTCAGAGTAGATGGGAGGAGAACGTAACAGCCTTAAAATCTGTACCCCTGTCCTCCCAGTGCAGGAAGCAGCCATTACAGGGCTTTTGAGCCTAGCAGCACACACTTACCCCAAATAACACCCCTGCTCCTCTCCTAAGTTTCACATGGCCTTCATACCAGTGAAGAGAAGCTTTAAGCTACAGCTCAGTGCAAGTAAAATCCCCCATACTGTCTCCCATTGCAAGCTGAACAATTCTAAGCTGTCTATGCACAAAGCAAAACATAAACTCTGGGCCCAAGATCCTGAAAACAAATGGCCCTGTGTTTGTTTGTATTCATGAATTAAGAAGTTTATCTTGTGCAGAACACTGCATGCCTTTCAATAGGAGGTATATGATTTTACTTCCATATGCCAGTATTATCAGACCAGTTGTTGCCAACTCTTAAGATTTTAATATAAGTTGCAAGTGAGGAGAGGTGAGGAAATCGAAAGATGACAAATTGAACTCTCCAAGGCCACAAAAAAGTTTTAAAAAATATGACCCTAAGGTATAGTAGGATCAAAAAACTCAAGATGATAAGAATCATTTTCATGGTCCTCACTTTTGAATGCATATAGCTGGCAAAACTGTAATCATTTTCAGGATTTTTTTTTTTTTGCTGTGCTTTAACCATCTTATTTATTTTTCCTCCTCATCAGAAATAATTCTCAGTCCCCCCCTTTTTTTTTAAAAAAAAAGAACATTCCCAAGTTACAAGCAACCTATACCTAACGCTACTATGAATAAAATGTGTTTCTCAAGCTTACCCACAAACTTCTGTGGGGTGGAGCTTTTACGCTTTCCCATGTTGCTTGTCAGCTTCTCTATAACAGCAGGTCTCTCAAAAGGCACCAGAGGAATATTGTTGTCCATCACAGGCTCTTGTTCCTTACAATCTTCCATAGGAGGTACTACATAAAACCAAAAAAACTGTATCAGACAAGTTTGGTCTACACAGATGGTGCAAATCATTTGAGGCCTGTTGACTGTCATAGCAAGTGCAATGCAAAATAAAGCAAAGTGCATGAACATAATTGGCAAAGCAACATTCACCTTTAAGCAACTACAGTCATAACTTCAAAATGCATCACTTTGGGGCCATTTCAGCTTGCAGAAGCTGAACTTTAAGCACTTATTAAAGGATTTGGTTTTTTTTGCTTAACACAAAAAAATGCCCAGTCAGGAGGAGACATATGTAGGTACATGGCACTTTTGAAAAAAACAGTCTGCAGAGCCTGTTCTCTATTGTTATCCACCTCATAGAGAAATACAAACTAGGATGATTTGGCAAAGAGCTGCTACAATTTATAAGCTGTGGGTGTCCCATCACAGTTTGCTTATTAGGTAAATCCTGAAGTCACAGACAGCATAAGCAGAGGACTGACCCCTCTGCTCCTGCTAGTTGTCCCCTGATCTCTCACCGTGGCAGCTTCATGGAATTTCTCATCGCAGGTATCTACTCCTGATACCATGGTGTAAGTGAGCCCCAGCAGCCCGTGTTCCTCCCAGGTAACCTCACTACCTTCAGGGTCCTAATATGGAATAATCACACCCCAGTTCTTAACTGTGCAGCTGTTTGCTAGCACATAATATATGAAAAATGAGGTGATAAAAGCCTTGTCTTTGTGCTCTTTCTAGTAAGGAAGAGCAAATACCAGGCAATTACAAAACAAGGAAGCTGCTCAGGTGAACTTCTCAATTCAGACATTCATAATAAGAAAACATGGCAATTTATTCATTTGATTCCATTTATGCCTCTTCTGCTGGAGAAGCTGAGTACTTTGAGGCTTAGAATCTACCATATGCTATGAAATGATTTACTCTGCTGCTTTTTTATTTGTACAGGATTCTCCCCCTGAGAAACACAATGGTTTCTCATTTACAAGGCAGTCCTGCTGGCATCAGGGAAAATAAAGAGGAAGAAAAAAAGCACAAATATGAAATGAATCTAATATTGCAACAAAATGGGATGCAGTGTTCCAGTAACCTAATTCACGTCCAGTACAGACTGGGAGGTCTGGAATATTACAAATAAGGCTGATTTTTTAAGGTTACTTAGGTACTTTGGTGGCTCCAATGATATTTGCATTAGTTCTGCTCAAGTGTTTTCGAGATTTAATAAGCAGGAGAAGATGCTATGCACTGATTTTCACTGGGAACTTGTGTCTAACTGTCCTTTTGGCTTAGCAAAAATCGTGCATACACATGGACCTCAATATAGCTCTCCTTGCTGCAAGGGGCCAGCTTTCTATAGGAGGTGCAGAGGGCTCTAAACGCCTCCTGCAAAGACGTGCTAAAGGCACCTTTGTAGGGCTACATTTGCATACTGCCCACAAAAATCAGTCAAAATCCTCCCAGTCACTTTCACAGCCACCTAATTAGTCCCAAATTAAACAACATTTGTATGGCTTATGAAGGGTAAATAATAATTAATTAATTAGACTGTTGGACATATGTGTGTAAAATTTCCTCGACGAAATTTGAAACCTTTCTTCCATGAAAAATGAATAGTGCTAAAAAAGACATCTGCTCTTCTCTAAGTCAGGCAAAGATTCTACTTGGACTCCCATTAAAAGTAAAATAAACAAAAATAAAAATATTTTCTTTTACTATTTTGTTTTATATTTTATGCTGCAAGTTCTTTTTCCCACCTCAGAACTCAACTCTGTAGTCCAGGGCACTGCTCTTTTGCAAAAGAATTGCTGAATCGCTCAGTATTTCTGTTATGAGGGGAATAAGTTACGGGAGCATTTGTTGTTATGCAGATTTCCAGGGACACAGGTGAGATGAAAATAGCCTAGTTTGTGAAACCATGTAACGCACATGCAAATAGAGACCAAACAGGTAAGATGTCACAGTTTGGAAACTAAAAGTGTTAAGATAAGGATCACATTGCTCAGTCCAGATACATCAATTTTCAACTACAATGTTTGTTTTGCTTCTCATTTAAAAATGTACAAACAAAGGTCAACCAGCCCAGACTGCATCGTTTCTGAGGAAAAAACAAAATAAAAAAGAGGAAAACCAACACAAGCCCATCAGACACAACAAGCAAGTTACCACAAATCAGCTGCTTTGTGGTAGTGGCTCACGTGCACCCATTTGCTCTGCGGTGAACATAATTCCCTTTTCACCGTATTTCATTGGACTTCATTACCTCAGGTAGCAGGAGCTGACGAAGAACAGCTGACATGTTATAACTAACAACTTATTTTATGTTGTGAACCTACTGTTTCAGTTCAGGAAGGTTTTGTTACCCTAGGAATCACATGCCTAGTCCATGAAAAGCCCACGCTTGTGTGCGCTTCGGCTCAGCAACGGTCTTGAGGATCTGGGTGGACTGCAGGACTCATTTGTTCACTGCCTCTGACACCGCTAGGATCCTGCATTGCAATTAACACCAAATATTCTTGCAGAGTCTAAACTCCTGGTACTCAAACCTGGCTAGAAAACAAAGTTTTCTTCTGAAGACACTGGGTTTGAAGCAGAGAGCTCACCTCAGAGCTGCTCTTAGTTTTTGTTTCTTCGTTTATGAGAAATCACACATACTGTTAGAAAAATTATGCTATTCCCCTGAGAGAAGGGCAGGGGGGAAAAGTTAAAAGAAAAAAAGTCAACCAGTGTGCATTTTGCTGAAAAATATTTCTGCGTGCAGACAGCAGATGCTGTACTAAGTCTAAGCTGTTATTATAAATTAGTATTACTCCATCAGCCTCAATTTCCTTTCCTAAGCTCACAATATTGCTATTTTATAAAAGCGTGTGTGCGTGGAGAAACGACAGGAAATATTCCCATGAACGCTGGTGTGAACTCCCTGGTGGGATCAGCATTTTAGCTAAGTTTTGAGCAGCTCCACAGGAGGGCAGGACACAAGCCAAACGTCTGGTTTATGAGGAGCCGGCCTACACGCTGACCCGGCCTGGGGCTGAGGGCCTTCCTCCTCCTCCCAGAAAGGACATTTCTTCTTCAGTCCGTTTTAAGAACCCTCCTTCGAGTTTTTGGTTTCTGGAGATGAGGGAGAACATATCAGTTGGCACAAACCAGAGCTAATGTTCGACATTTCTCCCCATGCTTCTCCACAAAGATTGTGCTCTTGACAGTCAGCAACTGTTACTTGTGTCACTCCCAAAATGCTGCTAGCTAATACTTTGCAGGCTCCTTTCTCCCTCCAGGGCCAAGGATTGCTGAGAGGGAAACACAAGGGCAAGAAGAGGAGAGCTCTGCCACAGCAAGCGGCCTACAAAGGAGGCAGCCCCAAGGCAGGGTAGCTCCACAAGGCAGCAGGTCCTCGGGCAGAGATTTCAACTCAGTTCATTTTGGGTTGACTCCAAAGAACTTTCATACTCAAGTCTCCTTCTCCCCACCCCAGGAAGACTGTCAAGAGCAGCCCTGCACCTAGTCGTGTCAGGCCAGGGGCTCTATTGAAAGCACTCACGGCGGCCTTCCACTGTGGTGCCTTAGGAAATGGAGTCTGGAGCAGCTAGTCCTCCCAATTGGGCACTCCTTCATCGCTCAGCAAAAATAAAATACTATGAAAACGCTGCGAAAGAGACTCGGAGAACTTAGCTCCAAAGCCAAAGAAATCAACAGTACCCAGTGCTGCTCATGAGCCTCTCCCAGAAACAGCTTCCAAGCGGGAGTACTGGGTATGCTGATGAGATCTGCTGCTGCTTCACAAGGGGATTTGGAGCTCACCATCACTCCCACCTCGCTGCGCCTCAGCTAGACACCACTGTGATGAGAGTGGATCCAGCATCCCTTCAATGTCCACTGGGAGAGATTTAGGCAGATTTGCCAAGAGGAGAAAGAGGCATTAGCTAAATTCAAAGTGCTGTTTTAAGCTAATTTTGTCAAGGAAAGTGAAGATACTGGGTGAACATTTGTATTTTAACCACAAAGGCAGTCAAGCAGTAAATAAAATAACTGTTCACATCGGGTTTGCACTGGTTTAACTTCAATTGGTAGAAAAGAATCAGTGTGAGTTCAGTCATTCCAGCTTCCTTGGGCAGACGAGGTCAAGGACTTACCTTTTGTGTCACAGCATTAATCAGCTTAGAAAAAGCTTTACATTTCCTCAGAAGTACAGTCTCAACAACAGTGAACCCAATTTTAATATATAACTCAATTATAAACCTAGAAATGGAGTAGAATTTGTGACAATTCTCCATAACGTGAGCTGGGAAACATTCTGGATGATGCAACTATATTCTGTGGAGAAATCTCACTTGAGCCGTGTAATTGCCTTACTGTTAAGGCCCTATTTCTGACTGAAATCACCACGTAGCCAGCTAATCAGACAGGTACACCTTTGCAGAGTGTAGACCGCATAATTTTGTTGTGAAAGGAGAAGGTGGTTAAACTCCTTCTGTTAAACTAAGCACTTTGCCTAACAGTCCGAGCACACAACTCTTTGCCGGTACCTGAAACCGGTCTTTTCACTGACTTTTACAAGCAGAACATCAGGCCAGAGGTAGCTAATCACAAACTTCACCACTTTTGAAATTATCCATTAGGCTTTAAAGGTTGATTTTAGCCTCAAAGGTGGCTAAAAAGATAGTAATTACTTAATAGAGGTGTCTGCACATTTTTGGAAAATGCATTACATACTTCTTGAATGCCCTTAACAGGATTAATATTTTCATGAAAAAGTAGTCTTTAAAATTGTCAGTGATTCTTTCACTGAAAATTAGCCCATATTAGAAATGTTGAATGTATTTTATTTCAGCATTTTTTTTTTACATTTTAAGAAATGACCTTTCAAAATTTTTGCAGAATTAATTTCAAAGTGAAGACTTATGACTACACTCAACAATTAAAAGCAAAATGAGACAAAGTGACTTTCCCCCTTTGCTTTCCTTTTAGCTTTAATCTACTTTTTGGTACTCCTAGATGTGTGTTATTTTTTAAGCAAAATATACAATGTAATTTTCATATATGATTTGTATATTCTGATTAATAAAAAAATAAAAACTCTTCAAGTATCAGACTTCTAGTGACTATTACTAAAAAAGAGAAGAGTTCTTGCAGAATTTCAGAAATACTAACTTTGAATGAAATGGTAATAATTTTTGGACAAGTGCTATTTATTATTTAGTGCTACAGATAAACCTACAACCCTACAGTCTGCGAGATTATGTTCAGCATATTTCCATATCAATAGCTATGGGAGTTTTAAAAAAACAAATTCATGCAATTTGACATTTCCTTTGTTCAGAGCTCTTTTTGGCAATCTTCAGTCTTGCTGTGTATTAACACATGCAGTGTTAGTGTATTAATACTACTAACATATGTAAATGCATCTAAACTTTTTTTCTTATAATTACTTTCATCCACACTGTTGAACTCCATTCTCTCTGAAGATTTTTACTTCTACCCCTACCTTCTTTTGGTAGAATGCAGTACTACATTTTTATTGCTATAAGGAGCAAATACCTAAGAACACCTCCACCATCCTTAGCTCCTGTAATCACCAGTCGCTCTCAGAAAAGAGAGCAGGGGGGATCGTATATTTTGTACATGCCATAGTTCATTATTTAGGATGACTTCTTACAGGTGACTTGTGGTTTTGCATTTTTCGTTTGCTTGTCTTCCACCTTCATGCAGGCATAATTATACATACAAAAAGGTGAATTTCTGACTTCATAAAAATCAGCAAAAACCCTGCTGTGAACTTGGACAGAGAAAGGATTTTACCCCGTCTTTTCTCCTCCTGCGTACTTGAGTCTAAGTGTCCTATGAAAAGGAAGTGATCCAAAGCTCAACGGAAGGCAACAAAAATAGATGAGAAAACCCGCAGAAGCCGCTCCATGTCCAAGAGACCTCAGGACATGGTTTCCACCCACCGTGGTGACTCATGACCTGCCCGGCAGCCTCCATGCTGACGTTCTGCAGATAGTTGTGGCAGCGTTCCTTGTGCTCCTCCAGCGAGCTGCGCTGCTTGTAGCTCCGGCCGCAGTAGTTGCACTTGTGAGGCTTGCCCACTGCGGAAAGAAAGAGAGCGTCGGGTCAAGGCAGCAGCAACCCACCGCCGCGAGCGAAAATCGCGTCTCGGTAACACCCGGCTAAGGGGATGGAAAGACACCTAAGAAAGGTTACTCGAGTCCCAGAGCCCGTTCCAGCCCCATTTTCCCACCACGCACACCTCCTCCCACCCACGGGGTATGTCGCCCTATCAGTTTTTCACACTAACACAGCTTCAGAGGAGGGAAAAAGAGGCGGACTTGTTGTTTGCAAAGCAAATAAATACACGACAACAACGGAGAAAACAAGCCAAATAGCTGAATCACACCACGACGACGACTGTGTTTCACCGAGTCTTGTGGGAAAGAAACTTCTGATACATTTTGCCCGTGCTATGAAGAATTGCCTTTGCAAAAGTATGCTACCCCGGTGGCCTAATTCTGCTTCAGACAGCGGGGAAATCCGTTATGTGGCATAGAGAAGTTCATCTTGGGTTGAGACAGTTTTGCCAAAGTACTAAGGGAACATTTCACAAAAAAAGAAGACAACAGAAAGTAGACTTTGGTAATTACATGCCAGAACCAAGCTGTCACCAGCAATATGTAGAGACTGGGTGCTCTCAAGAAAGGCTGAGTACAAGGAAAAGCCAGATGAACACAACACTTAAATCCAATATAAACTTCTCGTTTCACTCGTCGGCAATACGAATAAATAGCAACTGCCTCTTAATACATGCAAAACCTGGCACCAGATTCTCATAAAGTGCATCTTTTCATAGCATGTCATTAAGAAACCACAAGAATGGCCTCACCCGGGGCCAGAGAGCTAGTCAGCAGTGGATTTTGCCAAGCCACGCTAATAAAAATTTCTAATATAATTTAAACTTGTAGAACACAAACATTTATTCTCTAATAACTAAAGAGCTATTAAGTCAGCATTGTGAGTCTCCTAAAATACCACGGGCTGAGATTTTCAGAGCTGCCCTAAAGGATAGGAAGGTCAAACTTCTCATGGAGTTTTGAAAATCTTAAGTAAGAATTTTAGTTTCTGGCCAGAGGATTTACGAATATCCGCTGTTGGATAATACACGTGTTTCCATTGGGTTTGTCCCAATATTGACAGCTTTTCACCTGCCATTTACTAAATGAAATCCAAGCTGTATTAATTGCAGACAAAATGCACTGCCACTGCTGGGTGAATTCCCTCCGGTTGCTGCATGGAGTGGCAGGAAAATGCAGGCTGCGCTGCTCGGAGGTCACCTGCAGTCAACGAGAAGCCTCCTGCACTGGGGCTGGGGCACTGAAAAGGAAAGATGTAGAGTCCAGGGAATTATTAGGGGTGTCCGCAGGACAAACGTGGTGCGCACCCCAACTCGCCCAGACAGTGGAAGATGACAAAGCTGGAGTCTTAAATGCTGGATCTGGTCCAAAAGTTTTAGAAGTATTTTTAGTTATAAGAGAGGGAAAAAAAGGGGGTTGGAGGGAGCATTTGGTTAATTGAATGTGCTCATACAAAGTTTATGTTGTCCTTAAATGCTTGTGTGTGTGGTTCAGGGAAACAACCACGTTTATGATGGGAGAGAAAAAAAAAATCTGCTTTTACTAAGTATCCAAACTCCGGATTTATTTTTCTTTACTGGGGGATAAAGTTCATCCTCAGGTAAGTGCTGTGTCTTAGACCAAAGAGTTGTTGTGGTCTTTATTTTATTTTGCTCGCTAGCTCCCATTTTGCCATAACTGGCAATGCTGTTAGTAATCTCAGTTGAGGCCAACTGAGGTTCATTGTCATTCCCAGAATATTTGCCCTTAACATGAGTAACATCTCCATCGAGCTGCATATCTTAAACGTAAATTAGCTGTCCCATTCAAGAAGCACCTTTAGGAAAATGTGCTGGTAGCTCCCTGGAATGGAAAAGCTTTTATTATCGCAATTACAATGTTTCATTGTGCATCTAGATGGCATAGATGTGCCTCAGTCTGATACCTTTATTAGAAGCTAACTTCCTTGTTGTCTAATCAAAAAGCCTAGTGCAGCTGAAGGGATTAAATTCAAAGATTTGAAGCAGGACTGCTTTAGACCACCCTGCTTGACTAGACTAGGTTACAAAACAACTTAGATAAATTTTAAGACGCAAGGGAAAGGGATGATTGTTTTCAGCTACTCAAGAAGAGGTACTATTAATTAAGTATATTATTGCTTAGCACAGAGAAACAAGCTCTCCTACAAGCTTGCAGTACAATAAATTGACTTGCAATCAAAAAAGAGAAATATTGATGTTACACCTCTTCAAATCACTGCTCCTTGTATTGTAACAATTTCACAGACTATTTAAAAAACAAGGCTGAGCTTTTCCAGTGGTATCTACTGTGGCTAGCTACCCAAATTCCATCCAATTTCAAGGTTCATAGGAGGAGATAAAAGGCAGTGATAGAAACAAGATTTCTACACGCAATTCTATGGGATCTGAGGAACGTAAGTCCCCAAGGAAAGAACTACTCCAGCACATACACTCCTTCCCCTGGGGAGAAGATAAGAGAATAAACAACATGTGACAAATGTTGGTTGTGTTGCCTAATGCACAACTGGAAGTTGCTCAAACACAACTGTGAAGAATGAAGTTTGAAAACTCCAGTTGAGTAGAATTGAATAACATTCCCTTAGGTTCACATGAAAATCCTGTCCTCAGGCTTTCTTTGCTCTGCAGTTGCGATCGCTCCGAAGTTTTGTATGTAATAGATGTAAAAATCATATTTATGTTATAAAATTAAACCACATGACTGTGATTCGGGCTGCAGCACACTCAATCAAATAAGGACACAACGAAATAGGTTCTGCTAGTGGTAGCTTGCGTCACCAGTAACTCATAACCCGTTCGGAAAAAAGGCAGTTACCCGAGACAGCAACGTCTTGACTTGAGAACTCTCTTTGTTCTTGTTGTGACAAATGTCAAGTCATTGAAAATGCTGCAGATTTCCCCCTATACTCTCAAAGTAATTGATGAAAAAATACGCATTTGTGGTCTTTAACACTACCAGTGGGCATAGATTTTTCTGTATTTTATGTAACACAGTAGAAATAGGTAGAAAAACAGGAGGAAATTCAATGCTGGTGATCTTCTCAGCGTATTTCGTTCCACGTAACAAACCACCACAAGACTGCCAACTGTTGCTCAAGAGAGAATAGTCATGGGCAAGTATTGCATACTGGGTGAACATTAATAGCCAAAACTTGCCCACAAAATTATGGCTTGTACTACTTTGCACAAGGGGCCCTGGAGCACACGCCACTGACTTGAAGGCAAAGAGTCCACTAGTACTACAACCTGTCCAAAACCCTTTCCAAACCCCAAGGCAGCTCTTGCCACCATACAAAGTTTGGCTCAGCCTGCTTGCTAGGAAGCTGCCTTCCAGGAGGCCCATGTCTGCGCCATGCTCCTCGCTGTGGAACACGGTGAAGCGACACCCGATGGGAGCCGTCACGGCCGTCATGCCAACGGCAGCGGCACACAAGCAAAGTCAGTGGAAATCCCTGGCTCACAGTAACTGTTTCCGGATCACCTTTTCAGGGTGTGTAATCAGATTTACAAGCTTACCAGCACTCATTTTCATAAAAATGACACAATACAGTGGACGCAAACGAGCTCAAATCTTGAGAAATCTTGTACCTGTTGTTGCACTGGGAAAGACCAGGGCATTGGGCAAAACCCAGCAGCCATATCTATGAAGGAGCTGACTTGAAGAAAATTAAAAAACAACTTATATTTCTTTCTTAAATGTCAGAATTTCCACACATTTAAGCTCAGATTCATACAGACGACGCCATGGCACAGAAAACCCACAGTGGAGTCTCAGCTTCAAATGGAAAATATTATGACAGTCACAGTGAAAAAGACATTTCAATTTGAACTAGAATTTTTACCGTGAAGCAGGTAAACCACTTGTTGAAATGCTCAGAGAAGCAGAGCTTGCTTGTGAAATTAAGATGCCGGTGCGCAGAGAGGAGGGGGAAGAGGAGGAGGACATGAAAGGCAAAGCGTTTCTGAGTTAGGAATAGTTTGAGTCCTGTGGGTGAACTTTGATAGCTGAGAAGTCTGCATGCAGAGACGGTGAGATGGTGTAATGCTAAGGTCAATATTCAAGACAGAAAGCAGACTTGGGCCTAGGGAAACTTCTTTTAAGTCATAAAAAAGGTCAGTGAAAGAGGAAGGGCCCGTAAGGCATTTGCGCAGCATTTTGTTCTGAAAAGAGCTGTGAGTTCACAGCAGAATATAAAGTAAGTCAAAGGGAAGTAACAAGACATCCCAGGTAATACCTTGCCACGAGCACATAACCTGAGAGAGGCTCAAGAGCACCCATGCGCTTTGTCAGGGTAATCCCGGCTCCATTACCCTCAGTGACAGTACCATCCCTACCACTGGACCAACAAACAGCTCCTCGCACCTCTCCCTGGCCTGGGCAACCCCATCTTCTCCTGCAGCAGCGCAGAGGAAAAATTTCTTGACAGTGAGGGTGACGGGACACTGGAACAGGCTGCCCAGAGAGGTTGTGGAGTCTCCTTCTCTGGAGATCTTCAAAACCCGCTTGGATGCAGTCCTGTGCCACGTGCTCTAGGTGACACTGCGTGTGCAGGGGGGTTGGATGAGATGACCTCTAGAGGTCCCTTCCAACCTTAACAATTCTATGATTCTATGATCCGCTTACGGCCTGCGGCCTTGCACCAGCTCCACTACCAGCGATCCCGGTTCGCGCAGGGAAAGGTCCAACCATGTCCCCGTTATACAGCTAAGGCCAGTTCAAAGGGTATTAAAATGAACCGGAGTCTTTACACTGGGCTTCAACTTTTTATGAGCTTTAAGTTATTGCCTTGTCAGGGCCTCAGAAGGGAACCCAGCCAAGATTTCTGAGCTAAGTGGCGATCTGAGTATCTGTTTTCAGGCCGAGGAAGTTGTCTCGATAGCAGCATGCTGAGCTTGACTTATTTCTGTAAAATTTGAGCTCCCACTCAGCCCCTAACACCTCGG